CCGATGATTTGGACATGAATTATTACTTTGTATTTCTAGAGGGAAATAGAACTTGCATGTTATTAACACCATCACACATCTTGAAGAACTGGATATCATTTGACAGGCATAAAAAGAAACATCCCTTATTTACTTATGAGCTCTTCCAATTACACATAGTTTTTAATAGACAGTATGCACCAGTGAAATAGTTCAATAGGAAGTTGGGGGTGTTAAATATTGACAAATTATCAGCTACTGATAACAGTAATCAATTGATTGCTCACAGAATCCAAATATTTAGGACAATGACCAAATTCAAGTTTTGCTAGACAAGTACAACATGAGCAGAGCAGCTGACAGTCACTGAGAGCAGCTGACAGTCACTGAGAGCAGCTGATAGTCACTGAGAGCAGCAGATAGCAACTCACAGCAGCAGATAGCAACTGAGAGCAGCTGATAGTCACTGAGAGCAGTTCATAGCAGCTGATAGTCACCCAGAGCAGCTTATAGTCACTGAGAGCAGCAGATAGCAACCGAGAGCAGCTGATAGTCACTGAGAGCAGCAGATAGCAACTCACAGCAGCAGATAGCAACTGAGAGCAGCAGATAGCAATTGAGAGCAGCTGATAGTCACTGAGAGCAGTTCATAGTAGCTGATAGTCACCGAGAGCAGCTTATGGTCACTGAGAGCAGCAGATAGCAACTGAGAGCAGCTGATAGTCACTGAGAGCAGCAGATAGCAACTCACAGCAACAGATAGCAACTGAGAGCAGCAGATAGCATTTGAGAGCAGCTGATAGTCACTGAGAGCAGTTCATAGCAGCTGATAGTCACCGAGAGCAGCTGATACTCACTGAGAGTAGCAGATAGCAATTGAGAGCAGCTGATAGTCACTGAGAGCAGTTCATAGTCACTGAGAGCAGCAGATAGCAACTGAGAGCAGCTGATAGTCACTGAGAGCAGTTCATAGTAGCTGATAGTCACTGAGAGCAGCTGATAGTCACTGAAAGATGCAGATAGCAACTGAGAGCAGCTGATAGTCACTGAGAGCAG